TATTAAACATGGGTGCCTCCAAGTTTCTATGTGGTATGCTGACTTACAGTCCTTCTAGTATATAGCCACAAGTGGTATAGCAGGATCATATGGTATTTCTATTTTTAGATTTAAAAATTTTTTGATTGATTTAAAAAAACTTAACATTTTAAACTCTATTTATTATTTTTATTTCCTGTGTATGAGTGTAATGCCTGTATGTATGTAGGTGCATCTGTGTCGTGCAATGCCCATGGAGGTCAGAAGAGGGTGTTGGATCCCCTGGAACTGGAGTTACAGATGGTTGTTAGCTGCCATGTGGGTGCTGGGACTCGAACCCAGGTCCTCTGCAAGAGCAGTCAGTGCTCTTAATCACTAAACCATCTCTCCAGCCCCTGATTAATTTTCATTTTATGTATATGGGTGTTTTGTCTGGGTGTATGTGAGTGCACCTGAGCTATGCAAAGCCCTTAGAGACCAAAATGGGGCATTGGATCCCCTGGAACTGGAGTTAAGAATAGTTGTTAGCTGCCATATGGGTGCTGGGAACCAAACTGTGCCCTCAAGAGCAGCCAGTGTTCTTAAATGTTGAGCCATCTCCCCAGCCCCTATTTTTAGCTTTTAAAGAAACCCCATACTCATTTCCATAGTGGTTGTGAAAGTTTAGATTCCTAGCAGCATGCTCTTTGTCCACATACTTGCCAGCATTTATTACTGTTTCCTTCCTCCCTCCCTCCCTCCCTCCCTCCCTTCCTTCCTTCCTTCCTTTCAAAATTTTTGTACATGTGAGTGGTACGTGTGTGAGTGTGGTGTACATGCATGTGTGTGTGTATTTGTGTGTATTTGTATGTTTTCTTGAGCATAGTCTACCTTTATTTTCTAAGACGGGGACTCTTAACCTGAAGCTCATTGCTTTGGTTTGCCTGACTGGCCAATAAACTTCAAGGACCCACCTGCCTCCACTCCACCAAAGCTGGTGGAACCTCTAAGCCTGGGCTTTTACCTAGTTCTGGGGATCAGAACTCAGGTTCTTGTGTTTGTGAGGAGACACTTTATCCACTGAGCCATCTCCCCAGCCTGTATCTAGGAATTTATCATTTCTTCTGCATTTGTTTTGGAATATAAACTTTCAAAACACCCCATAATGATTCTTCGGATTTCATTGGAATCTGTGATCTCCCTTTTCATGTTAATTTTGTTAATTTGAATCCTCTCTCTTTTTAGTTTGGTTATAAGTTTGTTGATCTTGTTTTTTTTGTTTTGTTTGTTTGGTTTTTGAGACAGGGTCTTCCTGTAGCCCCAGCTGGCCTGGAACTCTCTATTGTTATAAGATGGAGTTTGCAAAAAAATCACCAGCACCATTTTAAGAAAAGTAGCAAAGTAAATTTTAATTTTCGACTGGCCAGGCTGTCTATCTCAGGAGTAGAAGCAGCCCTGATGATTGTCAGGTCAGAGTTTTTATGGATTACAGAAATATTATTCAAACAGGACACTTGTGAACCAATCAGGTTTTTACAACATAGCAGAACTTTGACTCTATTAATCAACAACCAGTCATTATACAGACAAGTGATACAGTCATATAACTTGGCAATCAACTTCGCAATTTTAAAATTAGTCAACTTCCTAGCCGTAACAAGTATAGTAAGAAAGCTGGAATCGGCAGTTACTGACCAGGTGGTCATACAATAACGGGGTGGTCTTATACTTTGTGTCAAGGTGACCTAAAATAGCAAGCGAGTTACAGAAGCGAAAACAAGCAGTTAGCCAGATGTAAAATGTCTGGAATTAACACAGTCTGTGGTTCATGGCTAGGACAATTTCCCAAGACCCAAGGTTGCCCCCCTTTTCCTTTTGGTGTGGAGCAAAGTTGCTGCTAAAATGGCTCTGAACAAAACAGAGTAAATTAAATAAGTTTGCTGAGCCAGTTCATCTCTGTAGACTAGACCGACCTTGATCTCACAGAGATCCATCTGCCTCTGCCTTCTGAGTGCTGGGATTAAAGGCATGCATCATCATGTTCAACTGATCTTTTTTTTTTTTTTTGTCTTTTTGAGATGGGGTCTCCCTGTAGCCCCAGCTGGCCTGGAACTCACTATGTAGACCCGGCTGGCCTTGAAGTCACAGACATCCACCTGCCTCTGCTTCCCAAGTGCCACCACACCCAGCATGATCTTGTTTAGTTTTTAAAGGAACCAATTCTTGATTGATTTTATGTGTTGTTTTATTTAGTCTCCATTTGATTAATTTCTGCCTTGATGTTTATTATTCCTTGCTCTCTGTTGGTTTAAGGCTTTGAGGTGCATCATTTAGCTATTTATTTCAGATCACTATAACCCCCCTCCTTTTTTTTGGTAGTCCTAAGAACTGAACCTCTAGGGCCTTGTGTATTTGAGGCAACTGCTCTACCACTGAGCTACAACCCCAGTTCCTTTCTGATTTTTTTAATGTGAAAAACATAGCCCGTTTAACAAATTGTCCTAACAAAACTGGATACCAGCTGGGCGTGGTGGCACACACCTTTAATCCTAGCACTCTGGAGGTAGAGGCAGGCAGATCTCTGTGAGTTCAAGGCCAGCCTGGTCTACATAGGGAGTTCAGGTCAGCTGGGACTACAGGGACACCTTGCCTCAAAAAAAAAAAAAAAGACAAAAAAAAAAAAAAACACAACCAACTACCAAAAAACTGGATATCACCTGCAGAAAAACTAGTTTGTATCTCTATCTCTCACCTCACACAAAAATCAATTAAAATAGATCCATGGATCTTAATTTAAAAGGCTGAATTGCTGAAACTGCTAGAGGAAAACATAAAGACAGGTCTTCAAGATATAAGAATGGGGAAAAAAATTTCAGAATAGGACTCCCAACAGCACAGGAAATCACCCCATGAATTGACAAATGTGATTGCATCGAATTATAAAGCTTCTGATAAGCGAAGAAAACTGTCAGTAAACAGACAGCCTATGGAATGAGAGAATGGTTAAAATCTAGAATATAGAAAGAACTATAAAGACTAAATTCCAAAAAATCCTTCCCCAATCAATAAATGGATTGATGAACTGAACAAATAATTCTCAGAGGAAAAACCACAAACAACAAATAAATATTTTAAAAAGTGTTCAATGTCCTTAGTCATGAGGAAAATGCAAATTAAAACTGTTTTGAAGTTCCATCTCACCCCAGTCGGAATGGTTAGCGTCAAGAAACAAATGACAAGTGCTGGTAAGGACTGGGGAACATGGAAGCCTTGTTCATTGCTGGTGGGGGTGTATACTCGTGCTGCCTCAAAAAGCACTAAACAATAGAACCAGTCCTGGGCACATACCCAAAGATCTGTGTATTCTACCATGGAGATCCTTGCACATCCACGTTTATTGCTGCTCTATTCACAATAGCAAGGAGATGAGAACCAGCCTAGATGCCCTTCAGCAGATGAATGGATGATGAAACGTGGCACATATATGAAATAGAATTTTATTCAGCTGCAAAATACGAAGTTATAGCTGGAAATTCCAGGAAAATGGATGGTTCTGGAAGTTATTATATTAAGCGAAGTATCCTAGACTCAGAAAGACAAATACCATATGTTCTTTCTCATATGTGAATCCTAGGTTCTGGTTTTTGTGTATGCATACTCGTGGGAGGAAGAACAGGTAGCCGTCATAAAAATGGAAAGGTGGCCCTGAGAGGGAAAAAGATTTTAAATATTTTATTTATTATTTTTATTTTTTAAAAATGTGTATCCATGTATTGCCTGCATGTAGGTAAGTGCACCCATGTTGTGCAATGCCTACGGAGGTCAGAAGAGGCTGTCGGATCCCCTGGGACTGGAGTTACAGTTGTTAGCTGCCATGTGGGTGCTGGGATTCAAACCTGGGTCTTCTGCAAGAACAACCAGTGTTCCTAACCACTGAGCCATCTCTCTAGCAACAGGAAAAAGATTTCAAGGACGGGGAGTGGGAGGGTAATAGCATACATGAGGCATGAAAGTGGAAAGGGGAATATTAAGGGTGGTTAGACACAAGAGAGGTGGGGAGAGATGGAAGAGAGGAGTAGGGGACAGGGATCAACTCAAACACGCTGTGTATGAAAATGCTGTGATGAAAACTTTGCATGCTAATTAAAATAAACACAGAGGGTGGGAGTGGTGGCACACGCCTTTAATCCCAGCACTCAGGAGGTAGAGGCAGGCAGATTTCTGTGTGTTAGAGGTCAGCCTGGTCTCCATATAGCGAGTTCCAGGTCAGTTGGGGCTACTGGGAGAATCTGTCTCAAAAATACCAAAAAAAAAAAAAACCAAACAAACATAGAAAGATGAAGAAAATGAAGAATGCTACATGATTTTAGTTTTATAAAATCAATTTATATACATTTGCATGCACCTATGAAAACAGCCTTTCTGTTTCTAAAAGAAATTTTTTGTAGCTGGGCATGGTGGCACATACCTTTAATCCCAGCACTCAGGAGACAGGCAGGCAGAACTTTGTGAGTTTGAGGCCAGCCTGGTCTACACAGTGAGTTCCAGACTAGCTGGGTATACAAGGAGACCTTGTCTCAAAAAGACAGAAAAAAAAAAAAAGAATTTTTTTGGCTGTGTGTGTGAGTGTGTATACCTTTTACATTTTAAACATTTTATAAGATGAATCTGAATTCTCTTTTAATCAAGGGAAGGAAGCACATATTAAAAATGTTTTACTCAGCGGGGCATGGAGGCACATGCCTGTAATCCCAGCACTCGAGAGGCTGCGTCAGGCAGATCTCTGTGAGATTGAGTCCAGCCTGGTCTACATAGTGAGTTCTAGGTCAACTGTGGCTACAGGGAGACCCTGTCTCCATAAACCAAAAGAAAAAAAAAGTTGTACTCAGCAAAAGAAAAAGGAGGGGCATGCAATGGAGAGTTATTGTTTGGCAAAGCCAGCATTTAGCCCGTACGTATCTGTTGCTGGATGGGTAGAGGGCAAGGTATATATTTTGATCTCTAACAGCAACTGAGAAGAAAGCCCGAATATCCAGCCACACATGGTCAACATCATGAAGCCCTGGCTGTGCCTGGTTATGGTATTTGTCTGCATGCTGCTGTTGCCTGTGCTCGGAGGAGTGAGGAAAAGATACACTCGTAGGTGGTGAGGCTGCTTTGGGAACTGAGGGCCAGGGACTGTGCTTATTTCTGGACCCACCTTCCCCAGATTAGCTACTGGAGAACCCAAGCAATTCCCTAGTCGAGGAAGTTCGATGTTTCCTCTTCCTACTTCCAAAACAGCAATGAAAGTCTCTGGAGTATAGAGAACCTCTAGACTTCCAGAAGTTCTGTGCCTTGCTGTGCCCATTTTAATGAGAACCAAATGGGTCTTTCTTTCTTTCTCTTTCTTTCTTTCTTTCTTTCTTTCTTTCTTTCTTTCTTTCTTTCTTTCTTTCTTTCTTTCCTCTCTTTTTTCTTTCCTTCTTTCCATTTTTCAATTTTATCTTCTATTTTTTTATTCTGAGAGAATCAATCTTTTTATTGAAATCTGAAAATTTTATACAATATATTTTGATCATATTTAGATCCTCTTCCCATATCTGCATCTCCTTACCTATCTCCTGCCCAATTTCATGTACTCTATTCTCTCTCTCCTCTCTCTCTCTCTTTCTCTCTCTGTCTATACAGTCAAAATTGTGTCCCCCAAATGCCCTTGGTTTTGGGCATCCACTGGAACCCGGTTAATCTACCAAGAGTCACACCATTAAATGAGACTGACTCTCCCCTTCTAAGCAGTCGTTGATGGCAATTGTTCCTCAGGAGGGTTGGAATTTCTTCCCCACTTCCCTGTGGCTATGCTTGTGGCCCAAGCTTATGTGGGACTTGAGCATGCTGCCAACATTGCTGTGAGTTCATATGAGAAACTGACCAGCTGTCTGGAAAACACTGTTTCCTTGTGGTCATTCACCACCTCTGGCTCTCAAAATCTTTCTACCTCCTTTTCTGTAATCATTCTTGAGCCTTGGGAGGCAGAAGTTCTATATAAGTGTCCTATTCAAAGATGAAACTCTGTAGCCTCTTTTTCTCTGCACATTAGCCAGTTGTGGGTCTCTGTGTTAATCATCATTTTCTGGATAAGGAAGCTTCTCTGTTGAGAGCTGAGAGATGAATTAATCTATAACAGTAAGCCATTAGGAGTCACTGTAATACTATATCTACTTAGCAGAATAATAGTATTTTGCTCTCCCCTATGGCCTGTGATCTGTCTATCCATATGTTCTTAGACCTGGTTAGTCCCATAGTATTTGTGCCACTATTGTACCAGTGGGCATATCATGCCAGGCCAGTTCTTGTAGTTCACAGTTGTGTAAGACTGATGACTTTTTCTTCCTTTCAGTAGCATGCATAGCACCTTCCAGCATTATGAAAGCTAGCCAGTAGAGGTGAAGCTTTAAAGTCAGTACCAGCTTGATTTCTCATTTGTTCTACAGCTCATGTATGTGATGTCTTTCAGCAATAGGGTCTTACAATCAAGTTCTGGTGAGTAGCCAGAATGGGGCAATGACCAGTATTGTTCGAAGATCTCTGGGACCCCTGGTCAACAGCTTTAAAAGGGTCAATTCCTGGCACTGAGCTTTTACTTTGCCAGCCTATAAGTGTCTAGTAGGGGCAATGTTCCCTTGTTATAAGATAATTACTTTTCATCTCTTTTATAATATATATTATAAAGTATATAATATATATACTATATATTATAAAGTATATATATACTTTAAGAAGCTTCTATAGTGCTAGGTTTCCATATGGCTTTTTCTAAAAATCTTTAGTGTTAGTTATTGCTCCTCTGCTCTGCCCTCCCATTCCTCATCTCATCCTACTGTATTATTCCCCCTTCTCCCTTTATATCATGTGTTCTATCTCCCCTCCCTTGAAGCCTCCTTCCCCCATGGTCAGCTATGAGACAGAACACGGGATGTTTGTCTTTCTGGGTCTGGGTTACCTCACTCAGGATGATTGTTTCTAGTTCCATTCATTTACCTGAAAATTTCATAATTTTGTTTTTTAACAGCTGAACAATAGTCCATTGTGTAACTGTACCATACTTTCATTATCCATTCATCAACTGATGGATATTTGGGTGTTTCCATTTTATGGCTATTGTGAAAAGAGCAGCAATGAATATGAATGAACAGATATCTCTGTAGTAGGATGCAGAGTCTTTTGGATATATATTTGTGCTGGATAGCTTAATTGTCAACTTGACACACCTGGATAGAAGGGACCGCATTTGGGGAATTTCCTCTATTGGACTGACCTGTGGCCATGTCTGTGGGAATTTTCTTGATTATTGAGTGATGTGGGAGGGCCCAGCACACTGTGGGTGGTGCCACCCCTGGGCAAGTGGTCTTGTATTGTATAAGAAAGCAGGCTGAGTCTGAGCCAGGGGAGTAAGCCAGTAAGCAGTGTTCCTCTATGATCTGGGTCCTGCCCTGAGTTTCTACCTTGGCTTCCTTTGATGATGGACTGTGCTTGTAAGCCAAATAAACCTTTTCCTCTCCAAGTCAGTGTTTTTAACATAGCATAAGAAAGAAACTAGAACAATGCCCAAGAGTGGTATGGCTGGATCATATGGGAGATTGAGTTCTAGCTTTCTGAGAAGGCTCCACATGGATTTCCACAGTGACTGCACCAGTTATCACTCCCCCCAGCAGTGGGTGAGAGCTCCCCGTTCTCCTCATCTTCATGAGCATTTGTTGTAGTTTGTATTTCAGACCTTAGCCATTCTGAGTGGGGTAAGATAGACTCTCAAAGTGATTTTAATTCGCATTTCCTTGATGACTAAAGATGTTGAACTTTTAAAAACATATTTCTCAGCCATTTATATTTTGTCTTTTGACAATTTCCTGTTTGGTTTCTTGTCTCACTTTTTTTTGATGTTTAGTTTTTTGAGTTCTTTGTATATTCTAGATACTAACCGTCTATTAAGGTATAGCTGGTAAAGGTATTTTCCCATTCTGTAGGTTGCCTCATCACTTGAATGATGGTGTTATTTGCTGTACAGAAGCTTTTTAGTTTCATAAGGTCTCAAATGGGTATTTTTTTGTTGTTGTTGTTTTGAGACAGGCTCTCCCTGTAGCTCCAGCTGGCCTGAAACTTGCTATGTAGACCAGGCTGGCCTCAAACTCACAGAAATCTGCGTGCTTCTGCTTCCCAAGTGCTGGGATTAAAGGCGTGTGCCACCAAACTGGGCTCCAAATGGGTATTTCTTTTAACAAAAAGTTTTTTGATTTATTTGTTTTTAGTTTGTGCGTATGAATGTTTTGCCTGCATGGATATAAGTGTACCCATGTCAAGCAATGCCTGAAGAGGCCAAAAGAGGGTGTTGGGTCCCCTGGAACTGGAGCTATGGATGGTTGTTAGTTGCTGTGTGGGTGCTGGGAACCAAACCTGAGTCCTCTGCAAGAGCAACTAGTGTTTTTAACCGCTGAGCAATCTCTCCATCCCCACAAATGGATGTTTTTTCAAATACATAATCTTAATGTCTACAAATTTTTTAAAATGTGAAAAGGCAACAAATGAGTCCTCAGTGGAGCAAAGCTGTGGGTCGTAGTAGAAGAAAGTAGAGTAGGTGGAGGATGTGAAGAAAAGAGATTGATGCATAAGGATCTGGAGAAAGCTGGATTATTATAGCAAGAGTCTGACAAGATGGCTCAGTGGGTAAAGTGTTTCAGGTGAAAGCCTGAGGACCTGACTTTGATCCTTGGAACCCACATAAAGGTGGAAGGAAAGCTGTCCTCTGACCTTCAAACACACCTTGTAGAAAAATCTACAAGGAGGGAGCATAGAGAAAAATGTGTTCAAGCTATGTGTGTTTGAGCATGCCTGTGATCTCAGAACGTAGGAGGTGGAGGCAGGAGGAGCAGGAGTTGAGGTACATCTTTAGCTTCATATGAGTTTAAGGCAATCCTGCACTACATGATACTTCTATCAAAAAGAAAAGAAAAGAAAAGAAAACGTCTTCAATTCGCTTTCTGACACAGGTGTTGTAATGAGACCAGTGGTTATCTCAGATCTTCATATCTCTTGTTAAATCAATATAGATTTTATAGTCAAGCACATGTACACTTGTGGCACACTGAATCCTGTTTCTGGGGTGATAAAGGAAGGCTTGGGTAAGACCTGTGGACTCAGAGAAGGTGATAGGTTCAGTGAAGATTCTACAAGGTCAGGGCCAATGTGATGACTTCACTGTGTGGAAGCACAACCAATAGACACCTTGATAGGAACACAGGGCTCAGACTGTAGGTGGAAGCCCTAAACTCAAGAAGCTTACAGTGCTTGGTTTTGTGACCCGATCAGCCGCTAACCATTTCATCTTAATTTCAGAGGGTGAACTGTCACTTGAGGAGTGCTGGGGAAAGCCCAAAATTAGCGATTGTACCAAGAAGTGTTCTAGGACTTTTAAATGTGCACACAAAAATCCTACATGCTGCTGGACCTATTGTGGTAACATCTGTGCAGAACCTGGGGTGAGTTGGGAAATGTGTGTTTGGATACGATCTTCACTGATGGACCCTCTGCTCAGAGACTGCTAATCCTAAATAGAAGATTGAGGTTTTCCAGATCTCTACTCCCACTCTCTTACACACACACACACACACACACACACACACACACACACACACGCCCCACTCTCTTACACACACACACACACACACACATACACACACACACACACACACACACACACACACACCCCAGCTTAGAGCCTCCCTCACCCTAACAACCAATGTCTTCTCTTTATACAACTCAATAGTTTGCTATTTCCCTAACTCTTGTTTTATTTATTATTTTTATTTTATGTGTATGAGTGAATTGCCTGCATATATGTAAGTGTACCTGAAATTGGAGTTATGGCTGGTTGTTAGCCACCATGTGGGTTCTGGAAATCAAAGCCGGGTCCTCTGCAAGAGCTGCTTGCTAGAGCCATCTCTCCAGCCCCTATTTCCCCAACTCTAATCTACATTTATAACCACTAACTCCACAGTAAGATTTTTCTATGGACACATTTGGTTTAACCAGGTTGTTCAATGGACCAATGTCTCATTTTCTTAGAGGTGGAGGTTATGCTGTTGACTGGTGGGTGTGGGAACTACCAAGCTTGAGGAGGAATGCTCATTTTTCACAAATGTCATGCCTCTAAGTGTCTAAACTTTTTCTTTTACAGACATTTTTTGAATGAATGAAAGAACCTTAACTTCTCACTGGATCATCATCTATGTGAACTGGAAGATGGTTAAGAGACCTCAGAACAGTACTGTGTGGTTACTTTTAGGAGCACCATTTGTACTGAGGGGTAAAAAAGGCAAAACATTTGAAAAATAAACCAACGGTCAGACTTGAGTTGTTTCTTTTTCACACCTTTTTTTTTCTACCTGTTTTACTCCTTAGTATATCATTTTTTTGTCGTTTTTTGAGACAGGGTCTCCCTGTTGCCCCACCCCAGCTGGCCTGGAACTTGCTATGTAGACCAGGCTGGCCTTTAATTCAGAGATCCACCTGCGTCTGCCTCCTGAGTGCTGGGATTAAAGACCCGTGCCACCACACCCAGCTACCCTTCAGAATACATTGTTTTAAAAAATTATTTCCTTTTATAATTTCATATATATGTATATATATATAATTTCTTTGACAAAAAATATTAAAGGGCAGAAGCTGGAGAGAAGGCTTAGCAGTTAAACACACTGACTGCTCTTGCACAGGACCTGCGTTCGATTCCCAGAACCTACATAGTGACTCAGAACTCTCTCTAACTCCAGTTCCAGGGGACCTGGTACCCTCTTTTGGCCCTATGGGCATTGTACCTATATGGCACACATACATACTTATAGGCAAAACACTCACACACATAAAATAAAAATAAATTTAAAAAATTTAAAAAACATTCTTTGATTGAAGTCCTGTTACCTTCCCTTACCTCCTCCTCCACCAGAGCACTATGGTGCTCTTGATTGCATTGATTACAATTCCTAATTGTACCTATGTGGTAAGCTTAGGATTTATGAACTACTCTTGCATATTTCAAGGAACATAAGTTTTTCCATATGATTTTAATGTGGGGGATCGGTAAGCAACCTTTTATTTCATTTTATGTGCATAGCGTTTGGCCTGCATGTGTGTAAGTGCACCCACGCATGCAATGCCCATGGAGGCCAGAAGAAGGCACTGGATCCCCCAGAACTGGAGTTATGGCTAATTGTTAACTGCCATGTAGGTGCTAGGAACTGAATCTGGGTTCTCATCAAGAACAACCTTGTGCTCTTAATTACCAATCCATCTCTGTAGCCCAAGGTTATAGTTTTTTTTTTTAAAGAAACATAAGGAGATTTGTGTAGGTCTTACACATGCTGTCACAAGTGCTATGGGTTCAGATGTGCAACTGATCTATAGTACCAAGATACCTGGTGTCCTTGTATTCATTCACCACCTCTGGCTCTTACAATCTTTCTGCCCTCTCTTCCACAATTATCCCTGGGCCTTGGGAGGAGAGGGTGTGATATAGGTGTGATATACTGTGTCAATATAGCTAATGGCAATTGATAACTTCTTGAAGAGGGAGAGTTAGTTTTCTTTAAAGGGGTGATATAGGGAGGTTGACCAGGTTGCAGGGAATGGGCCCACACCCAAGAGCATTTGGAGAACACAAACTCAATAAGGCTTTGAAAAAATAATAATAGAGGTCATGAAGTTAGTGGGTTAGGAAGGTGGGGGTAGATATGGGGATGGCGGTCTGAATATAATCAAAATACACTGTGTGAAATTCTTGAAGAATCAATAAAATAGGGGCTGGTGAGATGGTTTAATGATTAAGAGCACTGGCAGCTCTTGCAGAGGACCTAAGTTTGATCCCCAGCACCCACATGGCTGCCAATGACCATAACTCCAGTTCCAGGGAGTCCGACACCCTCTTCTGACCTCCAAGAGCATTGTGTGACACAAGTGCACCCACCTACATGCAGGCATTACACTCATACACATAAAATAAAAATAATGCAATATTTTAAAAGAATCAATAAAAATACAAAAAATAAGAAAATGAATGGTAAGCATTATGGCATCAGTCCATGTTTCTTCCTACTTGCATGAATGTGTCTCCCTCTCCTTTTTCTGTACCTGGCTGTGCAGGAATAGAGAAAATTCTAGTTTCCATAATTCAAACAGGTTAGATAAATATGTTCTCTCTGTGGAGAAGAGGCTCTGTGTTGGACTCAGCTTTCTGTAGGAATTTCCCATCCTGAGCTCACCCCCACTCCAACCCACATTCCAGTTCTAGCCTTCTCTCTGGTATGCTGGGGACTGTACCCTCCACATGGGAATTTTTTGTCCAAGGCACTGAGGGATTGTGGAAAGTGTGCTCACATTTCTATATGCCTTTGCCGCTCTGCTGGGTGTTTATTTATTTATTTATTATTTTATGTATATGAGTGTTTTTCCTGAATGTATGTAGATGCACCACATGCATGCAATACCCGTGGAGGCCAGAAGAGGGTGTCAGATCCTCTGAAGCTGGAGTTTTAGACAGTTGTTAACCACTCTGTGGTTGCTAGGAACTGACCCTGGGTCCTCTGCAAGAGCAGCCAGTGCTCTTAACCACTGAGCCATCTCTCTAGCCCATCTGTTGGGTGCTTTTAAAAAAATGTTTTATTTTTATTATTCTTTTTATTTTATGTGTATGAGTGTATTGTCCGCACAATGTATGTGAGTGCACCTGTGTCGTACAATGCCATGGAGGTCAAAAGAGGGCTTTGGATTCCTCTGGAACTGGAGTTAAGGATAGTTTGTAGCGACCATATGGGTGTTGGGAATTGAACCTGGGTCCTCTGCAAGAGCAGTCAGTGCTCTTAACCGCTAAGCCATCTCTCCAGCCCCCCCCCCTTTTTACATGGATCCCACCTTTTTTTTTGCACCAATGGTCCACAGTTCTTATATGAAAATCCTGGCATCTGTTGGCAAGACTGAGCCATGAGCCAGGTTCAGTGTACTTCTGGTATTCTTGCATTGGCACTCACTAGGCAGTGGTGGAGTGGTACCTTCCAAATGCTCTTCAGGAAAATTATTCTAGGGTGCCTATGGAGAACACCAGCTCTGGACTCCTATGATGCACCTTTGCTGCAGTCTCCACAACCCATGTTGTCCCCGCTGTCTTTCCACCCACCATGTGCCCAGCTTCTGGTTGCATCTCTGTAGCTTGCTCAATCTATCTCTTACTGTTCCTATGGCACACATGCCACGAGGGGCCAACACCTCCTTAGATTTAACCACTGATCCCATCCCAGCATGGGCAGCACAGCATTTCTGGGTACTTGCTGGTGGCTGCTCCTGGATGCTTCTCCTGTGGAGGACTTTGTGGATCTCTCCTCAGGCTCTTTCTTTTCTTTCTGTGTTGTCATTGTTTGTTTTCCACACCCTTCAGCTGTCCTACCACTCTTTTTGCAGTTTCTGATGTTTTGGTCTTTCTCTCAGGAATACAGTCTATTCTTTTTTATCCCAATTCCTCTCCTTCCCTGGGTCACACAGAGGCAGCATGTAGTTTGCCATCTTACCCAGAACCTCTAGGCAGATATCTGGAAACGAAAACATCCTCCATCAACATGAAGAGACAACTGTTTTCACATAGTCATTCCATCATTATTCTGAATAGTCAGGATATGCAATCTCTCAACAGTCAATCGATGAACAAGTGGACGAAGAACATGATGTGTATCTATACAATGAAGTACCTTATCAACTTTATCAGAAAGGAAACTGTGCCATTTTTGAAAACATGAATGAATCTAGAAGACGTTAAGTGAGACTAGTCAAGCACAGGAAAAAAAAAACTACATAATTTCACTTAATATGGGTTCTAAAAGCATTAAGATCACAGAAGCAGAGAGTAGAGTGGTGTTTACTAGGGGTCGAAGGGTGTTGGTCAAAAGATTAAAAACATTTTTCAGTTAGATTGAAATGCTAAATTCAAGAGTTTTTAAAAATATTATTTTTATTTTATTTTCTGTCTATGAGTGTATTGCCTGCATGTAAGTGCAACCATGTCATGCAGTGCCCACAAAGGTCAGAAGAGGCCATCAGAGCCCTGGAGCTGGAGTTACAGACAGTTGTTATCTGCCCTGTGGGTACTGGGAATTGAACCCTGGCCCTCTGTAAGAGCAGCTAATGCTCTTAACCGTTGAGCAATCTCTCTAGCCCCCTAAGTTTAAGAGGTTTTTATAAAAGCATGGTGATTATAGTTAATGTCCATATATGTTATATATAGTGTTTTTTATCTACTTTGTTTTTTACAAATATATTACCCATTTATTGTGCTAATGTCATCATTTTATTCTTCAGACATAGACCACTAATTTATCACAAGTTTTACTGCTTACTTTAGTAATGTTGATATGTCCTTTTATTTTATTTTTTATTATTCCAAAGAGAGGCAAATTTAACATATTTTTCCAGAAATAATTTGAAGCATGTTACATAAAAATATATACAATGAAGTTTAAGGGGGAAAAATAGGAATAAGAAATCAAAGACCAAAAGATTTGCCAACATGGGGTCAACTTTGGTGGAATAATGAATGTTTCCATTAGCTCTGTTCCTTTTTTTTTGAAAATCCTAGTGACAGAGCATAAGAGTGGGTGCCCCCCCATTTATGGCTGTGCAGGAAAGTCCACACTCAAATATAGATCCTGTGACTTCCCGACAGTGGCACAAAATGGCGAGAAGGGTGCCTCATGGTGTTCTTGGCTTATATATCCTTAGCCCCCTCCCCCACATGCAGCTAAGGTCTACTGATTAGGTGGGAGGGGTAACTGACTCCCCCCTCAAGTACTTGATGAGTGTGGGAAGGAGGTGTGACTATAGCTTGCTAGCACAGTGGTTGGAGGACACTTCCAGGTCACACTCCACCCCTTCCTTTTGCTCTTACATTCTTTCTGCCAACCTCTTCAGCAAAAGTCTTTGAGCCCTGGAGAGGGTGATAGGTGTGGGATGATCTTCTTCCCATTGTGGCAAGACACTGAACTTTTGGGTCTCTGCATCATCTATTTTCCATAGATGTTGGCCCATTTCAGTGGGATTCCATCTACTATAAAGAAACAAACAACAAGACGCAAGAACATCTAAATGGTAGCTGCTATAGTAACTTAACCTATGAGCATAAACACAAATGCTTGGTCTGTACTTTAGCAGGTGCGTCACATCCATCTAACAAAACAATTGCAGTGGCTTCCCCACTGGAGACTATATCCTCCCCTTCCACAGGGTGTTGGTCTGGTCTACAGTACCAGATGTGTGTTCCACCTCTAAGAGTGGGCATTATATCCAATCGAAAATTTTCTGGTTGTACATTCACTAGATACACTACTATTGCACCAGCAGGAACATCTCATGTCCCATGTTGATAGTGCAGCACTTGGGGTCCCTAGTTGAATAGGATGGTTCTCCCCAGCCATCTGCATGTCACCTTCTGGCACTATGAAAGCTACCCAGGGAGTTTCCAGCTTAGTCCAAGCTTGATTTCTCCCACTCCTGTGCTCACATCATGTGGTGTCTTCAGTAATAGGGTTTTACCATCCACTTCTGATGTACAACCAACATTATTGGCAATGACCTTCATTGTTTTGGGAACCTCTAGGGCCCTTCTGACCAACAGCTCATGGGGGGAAAATTATTGTAAATTAAAAAAATTTTAATTAATTTTTATTTTATGTGTATGAGTGTTATGCCCACATGTGTGTAAGTGCACCTGTCATGCAGTGCTCACAAAGGACAGAAGAGGGCCTCAGATCCCCTGGAACTGGAGTTATGGATGGTTGTTAGCTGCCATGTGGGTGCTGGGATTGGAACCCAGGTATTTTATAAGAACAGCCAGTGTTCTTAACCCCTGAGCCATCTCTCCAGCCCCTATTTATTGTGCTTTTTATTAAGTTTGTTCTTTGGGCACTGGGCATGGTGATGCACACCTTTAATCTTAATATTCAGGAGGCAGAGGCAGGAAGATCTCTGTGAGTTCAAGGCCAGCCTGATCTACATAGCAATTCCAGTCCAGATGGGGCTACAGGGAGAGCCCCATCAAAAACAAAATAATTTTTGTTCTTTGGCAATTTCTTAGGTGTATATAATGCATTCTGGTTACCACCCCCTGTCTCCTTTCCACCCCAGCAAGCCCCTCTCCTCCCTACAAGTCCCTTTCCTACATTCATGACTTTTTGTTTTGTTTTGAGACCCACTGAGTTTAACTGTGACCACCTGAGTTACCATGGGGCTGGAACTGTCCATTGGAGCCCAGCGGGCTCAGCATGGTTGTACAACTGACAAAGATGACTAACCCTCTCCCATAATCTACATGTAGCCCAATAGTTCATCAGGGAGGAGGAGGACCCTGTGAGCTCCTCCACAACCGTGTTAATAGTGGCTCTGGAGTGTTTTCACCACAAACAACGTGAGTGAGGTGGTGTAGATGTTAGGCATCTAGATCTACACAGGATAAATACAATGTTGTTAACTAAAATAAAAGAATTTAAACAAGAACAATCCAAGAAAATCATGTAAATCATAGGATACTCAAATTAACTTAAAAAGGCTGTCACATGCTCACCACCAACAATTCAGAGTAGCTTTAGGAATCATAAATTTAGTGTTCTGCATCTTAGACTCTCATTTCTTTTTATCATTAATTTTTACTAAAGATTTTCAGGATGTGAACTCTTCCCAAAATAGTGAACACATTAAGCATAAAGAGCTGAATTAAAATGCCCAAAATCTGCATAAAAGGCAGATGTGGCCTCCACTCCCTATTCAAGTTCTACTGCCTCAACCTATCAGTGATCCCCACCTCTTCCTGACCCCCCTCTTCATTTCAGATATGCCAGAACCTAGCAGGCTGCTCACCAAGGGCTCTTCAGTGGCCCCATATGGTATGGAGATTCCAGTCAGCTGCCTCCCACACCCTGTCATCACCCCAAAGCCCTGTACTAGTTCTGTGCCATTGCCAAGAGCACCTGAGTGGCTCCCTATTATCCTCTAACCTCTGGTAGTCACCCCCAGAAACATTTTCCCAGGCAGAGAGCAACACTCAGAGACTGTCTCCTTCCCAACCAACCATCCCATCACACTGTCCAGAGATTATGAAGGGGGTCCTGAGGCCTGGAACACAGAGATCTTCATCTTGAACTCAGTCCTACCTGACCCCACCTGAGATTGGTGTGGCAACCTCCCCCTGGCTCCCAGGAAGCACTGCTCATTCCCACTATGACCCCAACTTCCGTCATGAAAGACTACCTGTAGAACCCTGTAGCCTTACACAGACTTCTGAAGACTGTCAGTGAGAATTTACTAACTACAGAATTTTTGCTCCTGGGCTCAAAGTTCACATATCTCCCACTGTGCAAGAGACATGTCTGAAAATCCAATCCCACATCAACACAGAGTTACCACAAGACTGAACACCATGTACCATTTAGCTGGTTCACAACCTGACACATTGAAGTAACATCAAATGAAGATCCAAACACCGACTCAACAAAGATGAGAACAGATACCCTTACCAGGAATCACCACCACTGACTCAACTCCGAATGCTTAGGTGCAATTGCAAAAACATAAACAATATGAATAACCAAGACAACACATCCAGAAGTCAGTACACACACCACAATATCTTATGAGAAGAGCAACAGCTGAGGCTCAAGTCAATGATTTTCAAATAGTGATTATAAATACATGCAACAGTGAACTCAAAGAGGATGTATAATAATTCTGGAATGTAGAGTGTGGAAACACAAACAGCTGAATAAAGTCAGGAAAATAACCCAAGATAAGAAAATAGAATTTAATAAAAAATAGAATTTCTGAAGAAAAGTCAAATTGAAATAAAACTTGAAACGAGGAAGTCAGTGAAATTAAAAAACACAGTGAAAAACCTCACCAACAGAACGAACCAAGTGTGGGAGAGAACAAGCACTCCCTGAAGGTAGAAGGATTGGATCATTCTGTCAAAGAAAATGTTAAATCTAAAAAACACCCAGGAACAGAATGTGCAGGAACTTGGGGATATTATCAGAAGACCAAATCAAATCATAGGTCTAGAAGAAGTAACCTGGGTCAAAGGCACATAAAATGTTTTCAATAAAAAGGAGGAATTTTACCAAATCTAATGAAGGAAGTGCCTATGAAGGTGCAAGAGACGTATAGAAAACCAAAATTGACAGGACCAGAAAAGAATCTCCCTATGTCACATAATAAAATACAAATGTACAGAACAAAGAAAGGATACGGAAAGCTTCAAGAGAGAAAGACTAAAACACATACAAAGGCAGGTCTATCAGAAAGACACCTGACATTTCAAAGGAGACTCTGAAAATCAGAAGGGCATGGACCGATGTTCTACAAATTCTTAGACCACAGATACCAAGTCAGGCTATACCCAGAAAATTATCAGTTGTAGCAGAAGGAGAAAGGAAAACTTCCTATAATAAGAACAGATTTAAGGAGTTTATGTCCGCTAAGCTAGCTCTGCTGAAGGAATACTTCCCTCTGAAGAGAAGTTAAACATACCCAAGAGGCCACAAAGAATAAACAATTCTAGAACTGTTAACCAAAAGACGCCAAAGAAAATAATACTACCACACCAAAATAACAGGTATTAATAAGCATTGACTGGTAATAACTCTCATTATTAATAGTCAGACAGTGCTCTTAACTGCTGAACCAGTTCTTCAGCCTTTAAAAAGTGTTTTTGAGACAGGGTCTTGTGGGAGACAGGCTTGAGCCTAGGGTGAAAGTCTTAATGACAGCCGTACAGCAGGCCCGAGGCAATGGCCTGACCGCTGGAGCCACAAGGAATGCTTTGTGACATTTGCTCCCATTGGCAGATCATGAGACTGATGCCTAGAACTTGCCACTCCCTAATCACCACCCTTGGAATTCCAAATTGCAACACTTAGATATTGCGACAGTCACAGTCATGTGGTTTCCAGGATCTAAGGTATCCTACTTGCTGTGCTGTGATTGGACCACTACCCTTATATAAGCTTGTGCCTTCCTGCAATAAAGCAGATGTGTCACTGAACCTGGTCTCCTGTGTCTGAATGCAACTTTGCTGACACAGTCTCATCACCAGCCCTGGGGTTTGGGACCAGGCAGAAGCAGCCATGACAGAAGGCAGCAATGGGCGAGGAGAAGAGTGGCATCAGCGCAGGGCAGGCAGAAGAGCGGCCTCAGCCCAAGGTGAGCGGAAGAGCAGCCTCAACGCCTGTGAGAACGAAGGAGCAGCACCTGTGAGAGAGGAGCAGCCGCTGCTGGCGGTGACCGCAGGGTCTCAGTATGATGGCTTGAATGGTCTGGAACTCCCTATGTAGACTAGGCTGGCCCGAGCGGCCTCAGCCCAAGGTGAGCGGAAGAGCAGCCTCAACACCTGTGAGAACGAAGGAGCAGCACCTGTGAGAATGGAGGAGCAGCCGCTGCTGGTGGTGACTGCAGGGTCCCAGTATGATGGCTTGAATGGTCTGGAACTCCCTATGTAGACTAGGCTGGCCCCCAACTCAGAGGAACTCCCTAGGTAGACCAAGCTGGCCCCTGATTTACGGAAATCTGCCTGCCTCTGCCTTCCAAGTGTTGAGATTAAAGGTGTATACCCCTACCCTGGCTCAATGGGCTTTCCTTGCTGGTCGATATTGAACTCAGCACATCAACCCAATGGTGGCATTTCAGGCAATTTCCTGTAGTTCATGAATTAAGGCAGGGAAGGCTGATGGTGGCTACGTTACTGGAAGAGCAGATGGCAGCTCTTTGCTCACGTCTCAACAGGCCAAGAACCAGAGACAGATGAATGCTGGTGCTCTGCTGATGTCTCCTTTTTCCATTTTTATTCATTATGAGACCCCAGCCCATGGATGGTGTCACCCACAATCAGAGCAGGCATTCCTCTCTCAGCTAATTCCTGGGAAAACCTTCAGTTACATTCAAAGGTTTGTCTCACTAAGGCCCTAGGTGTTTCTTAATTCAAGTTGGCAACTGAAATTAACCTTCACAGGGCTGGAGAAATGGCTCAACAGTTCAGAGCATTTCCTGCTTTTCCAGAGGACCTGAGTTAAGTTCCTAACACCTAGGACGTGGCTCACATCTGCCTGTAAATTCAGCTCTAGGGAATCCAACACCTTCTTCTGGCCTCCAAGAGCACTAGCACACATGTGGCCTGCATTCACACAGACACAGACACACAGTAATCTGGAAAGATCCTTGGTAAAGGAGGCTATCTGGGAAAAACCAAGTAAGACATTTGATAATTCATCTTTTTAAAAGTATTTTATTTTCTTAAACTATTGCGGGCGGGGAGCACCAGTGTGCCATGGTGCACATGTGGAGGTTGAAAGACAGCTTTCAAGAGTCAGGTCTCTCCTTCCACTGTGGGATCTGGGGCTCAAACTCAGGTTATGAGGCTGTTGCCTGTTGAGCCACCTCTCTGGATCATGACAGTTAATCTTGTCAACTAGATCACATTGAGAATTGCTTGAGTGATTACCGAAGTGCACCTTTGGGGATGTTTGTATTGCTATTTCTAGAGAAAATCAGATCAGGAGGTCTCTGATTTAACGAATATATTAGTCTCTTGATGGCAATGATACATTGACTTTATGGGATGGTGGTAAAAGACAGGAGGTTGGGTGACATTAGATGAAGCAGGTCACTGGTGGCATGTACTTAGTTATATCTTGCTATGTCCCTTTTCCTGGAGGACATTTATCTGCTTCCTTGTTACCATGATGTAAACTGCTCTGTTCACCATTCCCCATCCCCCACCATCATGGGCTGACACCACTGAAGCTGTGAGTCAAGATGTATCTTTCCTCTTAAGTTGGTCCTATCAGGCATTTAATGCCGGCAATGAGGAACATACTTAATACAAGTTGTCTCAGAGAAGTTGCTCTCCCTGCCCACCTTCTTCCAATGACATGCCTATGTTGGTGGTTGATCATGATCTTTTTTCCAGGGCCCCTTGTCAAAAGGTGGTCTTGACATAGATGGAGATGAACTTGAAACCTCCAGAGTCCTGTGATACTCATGAGGTTGAACCAGAGGCTTTGGTTTGATGGACAGGATTTCCTCTTCAGTCGTGTCTTTATTGAGTGGTCCAGGAGCATAGTACTAGATACTGACTCTGGGCATAGCCTGATTGTCTGAATTCTCTTCACATTTGATGTTATGTCCTGGTGGCCATTGCGGTGGTTTGGATGAGCATTCTCCAAGCTCCACAGGTGAAAGACTTGGTTCCCAGGGTGGTACTATTGAAAAGTGCTGTGGATGCCAGTCCTCAGGTTAGAGGGGTCTTGCCCCTGAAGGTACCTTTGGCATCCCTGCTTTCTCTATAGCTCTGTTTCTCTCTCTGTGCTTCTCCCTCTCTCCCCTCCCCACCCCTCTCTTTCTTAATCTGTCTCTCTTCTTCCTAGCTTCTCATGTGAGCAGCTGTTCTGACACTTGTTTCTTCCGTGATATTCCACTCTTTCCAATGCCCCAAACCCTTATGGCTACCTAGTCTTGGATGTCAACCTGTAGCTGTAAGCATAATCATCTATATATGACATGGCTCAGTCTTGGAACTGGCCCTGGATCATTTCAGTTTTGATCACAGAGTTGGAGGGATCCTGTGGCCCCAATGATTCATTTCTATTACTAAACCATATGGGTGAGACACATTGCCACCCTGTGCCAATTCAGATTTCACGATGTCAGCAAGAGCTACCACCTGTTTCTGCTTTCACCAATGCTCCTCTGGACCAAAAGAAGAGACAGAACTATGTAGAGAAGGGTTTGGAAATGGTGGAGAATGTTAATAAAAATCATTGGAGTCTCAGATCCCAACCCCCAAGCCAGGCCCCACCACTGGAGTGTCCATATACGCCTGTGACAGGCAGCAGGAAGTTTGATGAAGACAGTCTAAAGAATACTTCTGTGTTCAGGTGATGGAGAGAACTGAGCAAAAAGAGTTCAGAGGAAACACACTTCTCTGGCTGTATCAGCCCCCTCGTGCTCTCCTGACCTAATCATGTCACCTGACATCTCTAGATTCATTATCCTCTGTTGGAAACCAAGAGTATCTGAATCTCTGAAGCAGATAGGAATGACCAAGGCTAAGGAGAGGAAACCATGTTTATGGGGCCTCTCACTCTGTGGTCTAGATTTTATCCCTACCTGTAAGATGCTTAACAGGTCCTTTTACCCTGAAGGTGAGGAATGTTCTCAGCACTGAAGCATGCTGCACGAGTTCCAGAAGACCTGGTTCTGTGGGTTGAACCTTCTGAGAGTCAAGTAGGTGCCCAGACCAAAAGGAATGAGGAGAGAGAGAGAGAGAGAGAGAGAGAGAGAGAGAGAGAGAGCCTGTGAGAACTGCACTGCACTGGGTTCTCAGTGATTATTAGCAATGTATACAAAGAGGCCAGTTCCCAGGATATTTGTTCTGGTTTATTTGAAAGGGACAGTGGGTTCAGACAGTTAGGACATTGATGTTCTTTCTTGTGTCACTGTGGTCATGATTAGAGTTCCATCTCCTTCAGAGAAGGGCTCACCGTCTGGATTGACAGATTCAGGGGGATCAACAGGTATAACAAAGCCCTCGTCTTCTTCCAGGAAGTTCATGCAGATGTTCCCGCAGAAGGTTGAGCAACAGATGTTATTTGCTTGGCAGTCTCGGTGAGCTTCGCAGTGGTGCTTGCACAGATGGAATTTGGGCCTCCTCTCACATTTTGTGATAACAGGACGACCATAGTCTACTGAAAGGAGCGAGAACAGGTGAGCAGAGGTGGCTGCCTAGAGAGAATACCTCTTAAGCTTAAATCTCCTCTAAAACGTTGGGACTCAGCTCTCACTCAAATACTCCCAGGCTTTTCAGGAACTTCCTTGTGCCTCCCATCAAGTCCTAGGGGTCAGTTTCAAATTGTTTCAAATCCCATGCCTCAGACTATTTCCATCACCTCCTCTATAACTGTCAATGACTGGGTTTCTTGAGTCCTATCCCTATGCCTGGATCCAGGATCTATCTCTGCTAGTAGACATGGCCTTGATGGCATCACCCCTGTGAAACCTACATTCTTACCTACCCAGAGAGCTCACAGACGCCTGAGACATCCCTCAGATCTCTCAACTCTTCAGAATTTTCGGGGCCCATGACGAAGACAGATCTGGCCTGTGTCTGCTCCTTTCCTGTCACTCTTTCCAACACTCCTGTCCTGTCCTTTCTGTAGTTTGCCTTCCTCAGTCTTGCTCCTGCTCCCACAGATGGTACCTTCATCTCATTTCTTTCCTGTTCAAATGACTTGTGTTTCTACATATATACACCCTATCTATTCCTATACACCCATGTCTACCCTAATGAACAGCTCTGCATGGTTATTCCCCTTAAACAGGCATAACTCCCAAATAACTGTCCAATTTGCCCATTGTATTCTCACCCTGGTGTCCCGTTCACCACAGAATGGACTATTTGTTTCTGTAAGGTGGGTGTTGGAGAACAGCTTCATCCTCCATCCCTATTCCCAGTCCTGGGCACCAGGTATGAGGGTTGTGAACCCTCAGAGTCTGTACAGTGCCATAGGGAGCAGGGTATGCAGAGAGAAATCATCTCCTTACTCCTTCTGGGCCTGTGTTCAGCTGTTCCCTGCCTGCCACCCATATATCCACCTTGCCCATTACCTACCATAGTACTTTGCTGTATGTTGGAGTGCTCCCCGAGTCGGTGACAGCAGCAACAGCACAGTGAGGAGCAGGAAGAACTGCGGAGCCCGGGGCAGCATGACTCTGACCAGAGCTGTGAGCCCAGACCTGGTCCAGATGCAGACTACTGCACAGAGCAGGATGTGGACAGGGAAGGCTGGAAAGGGCCGTCTTCAGCTCTTTGCTGCCTCTGCTGGCCAGCCAGGGAAGAGCAAGAGCACACCTGTTTCCTCCTGTTTGCCTGCCTCCTAACCTGTTCTAGTCTGTGTGGGACTGGCCTCAGGGATGATGCCTCCTTCCACGTAATAGCCCTCCTTTCTTGCTGACACAATTTCCTTTGTGAAAAGCTTAATTTAGGGCTCAGAAGATAGCATAGTTGGTAAGGTGCTTGCTGCATAAGCACCAGGAGCTGAGTTTGGATCCCCAGCACCCATGTGAATGATGACCTGGAGGGCAGGACTATTATCCCAGAGCTGGGAGGTGGAGACAGGTGGATTCCTTGACCTTACTGACTTTCCAATGTAGCTGAAACTACAAGTTGAGTGAGAGATCTTGTCACAAAAAATAAGGTGGTGTGCTGGATAGCTTTAGTGTCAATTTGACATACCTGGGTTGAGGGAGCCTCAATTGGGGAATTGCCTTCATTGGGCTG